AGGGGTTGTTCAGCAGGGCTGTAATGAAAGCAGGGTGCTCTTATATCCCCGGCTCAGATTTTACTCATGCAGTTGTATCACGCTTTGCAAAACTTGAGGTCCTGTGCATCTCGTGGCCGAGGTGAGGATGGTGGGAAGTCAGAAAGCAAAGCTGGTATCATTGGAGTGCTGGGATGTGTGGCTGCTGGGGTTTGTTGCTGCAGTCCTGAAGCGTGGTGGCAGCCAGGGCCGGGTTTTGTGCTCCTGGGCTGCCTTCTGCTTGTAGCTTAATGTCCTGCAAAGCCCTCCAGCAGGTTTCTCCTCGGGTTGTGTGGGGTGGCACCAGGGCAGGGAGGTTACAGGAGGACGGAGCTCTTTGCAGAGGTGCAGATTGGAGTGGGAATACAGCAGGGTGAGCTCTGCTGTCACACTCTGGCCTGGGGGTACGGCACGCTGCCCACTGCTCCTGTTGCAAACATCATCAAGTTTGGTCTCTTTTACTTTGTGAAAATGGGCAGGAACTTGCAAGGATGGCTTCATTTCAGTCCTGTGTGTACAAGTGATAAATTTCATTGCTTAGTCCAATCAGAGGGAGATTGTTTATGAGTAAAACACTTCCCAGAATGCTGGACTTCTTTCTTAATTTCTTATTTTTAAAGCTATAGAGTTCGGAGTAGCAATAAATGATATTTTCACCCTCTGCAGCCTTACAGTAAGGTTAGAGCTCTTAAACAAGTTGTAGATTTCACTCCTTTCCTTTCCCATCCTTGAATTTCTGGCATGGAGCTGTCAGCAGCCAGGAGCCCGGCCGGTACCATCCATGTCTCCAGCACTCATTGATGTTCCAGTTGGGAAAGTAAGTCCCCATCTGTTAAATGAAGAGCTGTAGAAGGAATGCCTTAGCTGTGTTTCATAAAGGCCACGTGGCTGCCCGCCGTGGTGCTGCTGATGCTCTGTGCTGCAGTGCTGGATCTGCTGGTGCTGCTGCTGCTCCTCCAGGCTCTGTGCAGAACGGCGTTGTCTCTGGAGCTCTGCACAGGACAGAAACTGATTGCTGAGAGATCGCATCCCCCCTTGCAAACAGTGCAGTAATTAAAGTCTCCTCAGGTAGTTGGTGTGATGGTGTTGCAGTGGAGGAGGCTGTGGGAAGATGGGTGATGCTCGGGGAGGAGGCAGCGACTCAGGGCTGCATTCCTGATCAGAAATGGTGCTTAACCTTACAGCGTGCTCATCTGCCGTGGGGAGGTTTGTTGTGTGTGTGGGAGGGGAAAACAAAAAAAAAAAAAACCAGGGTGCCAGAGATGTCCCTTGGTTTTGATCAGCAGTCCTTATGGATTTCAGGACTTTTGTATTTGATGATGCTCAGAGCAGCGCAGCTGGCAGCTCACCTGACTGCAGGTGAGACTGAAAGCATCAGTGTTACCTCTGCCTGCACTGCAATGGTCACAGGGCTCCACCATGACGTTCTCCTGCTGCTTAGTGTAGAGCAGCAGGAGAGTTTCCCAAGGAGGCTGTGGATGCCCCATCCCTGCAGGCATTCAGGGCCAGGCTGGATGTGGCTCTGGGCAGCCTGGTTGGCGACCCTGCACACAGCAGGGGGTTGAAACGAGATGAGCATTGTGCTCCTATTCAACCCAGGCCATTCTATGGTCCTATGGTGTGTGTGGATGGGAGTGCAGCCACGTGCAGACGGCGTTTTGATCTCTGCTCTGCTGCAGGCAGCCCAGCAGGTCCTGGGCGTTGGGAAATACCGGCTGTACCTGAACAGGCGCTGCCTCGCAGCTGTGGTGGCCTCACCTGAGCCTGGCTGTGGATACGAGTGGAGCTGTTTGGGTTGAGAAACGCCGACCAAAGCAGAGCTCGGTGTCTTTTGGAAACTGCTGTTTGTTTGCCTCTGAAAACAAGCCCTTTGTATGGGGGGAGGTCGGATCCTGTGAGGGGTTGGTGATGATGCTGGCCATGCTGAGGATGGGGCTGCTGGTGGGGCCTGGCTTTCCTCCCCCCTTTCCTTTTGTTTAGCTGAAAATATGGGTGCCAGGCAGCGGCTGTGTGCTGGGCAGGTGCTCTGAGTCACCGCGGGCTGTTATTTATTTTCAATATTGATAAGATGAAAAAGGGTTTAAGTCCACCTGGGTGCTGAAGTGGGAGGTCTGAGTGCGTCCGCAGCCGTGCTGTGGCTGAAGGAGATCTGGAGCTCTCTGGAATGTTTGGATCCAGAGTTGTGTTTGGGAGTGTTTTAATGCTGGGAACACACTTGGGTTAGCAGTCTGCCCCAGGAGGTTTGCATGCCGTGCTCACAGCACCAATGGCTTCAATCCCAGGGCTGGAACTGAGCATCACCCCAACACATCCATTGGAAATAGACCCTTAACCTGGAACATGCCAGGCATGTGGGAAGAGCAGTCGGGCTGGATGTATTGGTTGCACTGCCTTTTATGTTGCTTTTCATGTCATATCCTTTCCTCCAATGCAAATAAACATTAAGTTGTAGGGAGGGGCTGCTGGGAAGTGAAAAACTTTCATTACAGACAGCTGACATGCAGGATAATATCTTTTTATGTGCCACCTACTGCATGATAGCTTGGAGTAAATCATAGTTCACTGGGTAAGGTTATTTCTGGTGCAGCTGTCCCATTCCAGCACACCCTTCCCATACTGGCACTGGGCTGAAGAGCAGAGATCCAAAAAGGTTTATGGGATAAAAACAGGTGAGGAGGAAATAAACGTGGCCAGATGTTGGCTTTGCTTTGTGACATTAATTGTAGATGAAAAGAACGTTAAGATTAAAGTTAGAGACTGAAGCTGTTCCCAGCAGCCTTTCTCATGAAATATTCATGTATTTAGGGCTTTTAACTCATCCGATTACTTATAATAATATTGTAATCAGTGCGACTTTCTGGCTTTGGATCTTGATGAATGTGTTCATGGGCAGATCGATCACTAGAAGGCGCATAGATCAGAACACAGCTTTCTCAGGCACCTCCTTTACAATGATCAAACAGCTGTTTGAATGCCCCGGGGTCCTTTCCTCAGTGCCTTCTCCTTTATTCTGCAATCTCAGCGCCCTGCAGGCAGCGGAGCACGCAGTGCAATGCAGTGCAGTGCTGGGGACCATGCACTGCAGCTCAGCAAAACCCGGTCTGTAGGACAGAGAGGCTGAAACTTTATTTTTTTTAATTGTCTTTTTCATGTTGAGTTCATACAAACTGCATCTGTACAGGGAAAAGGTTTAAAAAGCCCAACAAGCGTTGCTGCGTAGCCTTTAAAATCAGCAGCATCCCTGCTTTTGTATGGCTGATTTTGCACGAGTTTCTCAGGAAAGAAAACGGGTTGCATGTGGGGGTCGGTTTTGCTGAGAAAATGTCCTGAGCAAAATGGAAAGTACAGAAATCACAGATAATGGTAATTAATATTCAAATGAAGTGCGGGACGTTCTAAGGTCTGGATCAGAGTACAGAACTGACTGTGTCCAGGCCATAATGCTTCATAAATGTACGCATTAAGGCAGGAGATAATTTTTTCCTGTTGCCTTACGTCTTATCATTGCACAGAGGAGTGCCAGTGGGGCAGAGGGAGGAGCTGCTCAGGGCAGCACAGCTCCTCCCCATCACTCAGACCCAGAGAACAGCATCCCTGCTTTTCGGGCAGGAGTCCAACTGCCCGGACTGTTGCTTTTCATTTTATTGTATAATCATCTATTTTGGTTGCCATTAAGCTTTAGCCATACGCACTGAAGTGGCTCATATAGAAGTGCTTTAGCCCAGCAGAGCAGCCTCCTGTAGGGAGGAGTGTCACTCTTTATTTTCCATGCAGGAAATTCCGGGAGGAACTGCTGCAGTTGTTTTGCCCTTTTGAGCCTTGCAGACTCGGGAGGATTTAACACCACGAGCAGTGCTGTGCAGCTCTCAGCTCTGGGCCCTGATGCCTTCAGGTGCCAGCACTGCTGACAACATTCTGCACCTTCCTTCTCTTAAAAGCTTTGCCACAGAAGAGAATTTCTCCCTGTTTTGGCCCCTCCATGCTGCAGCATTACAGGACCGAGCAAATACTGAAGGATTCAGTGCCATGTTGGATAGCCTCACTTTGTTACAAAAAATATATATATAATAATGGTACCTTTTTCTGTATTCAGGTTAATTCAGGTCCATCCAACTTGCTTCTCTCTGCGTTCCCACCGAGCCAGGAAATTTGCCATGAAACATTTCAAGAGGTGCTCTCCTGCATGGTGCTGATAAAACACATTAACACCAATTGGGTGCTCATTACCGGGCTGCTGTCAGCTGGTGTGGGCCATCAGCTGCCAAACAGTGCAGCACTAATTAGCCATGTGCTCAGTGGGCACCACGGCTGCAGCACCCCTCGAGCACACTGCTGTATTTTGGACAGGAAGGAGGCAGTGGTTTGCCTCTATCTGCCCAATATTGCTGCTCAAAGGAAATAATTCTTTAAAATAGAGGCTAAAGTGGCGGTGACAGTCGGCCCACCTCGTGGCTCTTAGTTACTCTAATTGCATAAACCAGGAAGAACACGGTTAAGGATGTTGCCAGGCTACTATCAGCACAACAAATTATTCTTCCTGAGCAGAGCATGGTTGGAGTTTTGCGACGATGGAGCCTCCCAGCTTCGGGCTGGAATTTAATCGGTGTTAAAAAGGTCAGAGAGTTGGTTGGGTTTGTTTTTCTTTTTTTTCTGCTGGAGAAAATGGAAAAAAAAGAAACTGACGAAGGGAGTGGTGGATGTGGGGGACAGCAAATGGAAGTCCTGTGAGCTGGTTCTGTATGCAGTGCCCTGTGCTGATGTGTTCTACTGGTGGGGAAGGGGCAAAACAACAGATTTTTTCATAGAATTATAGAATGGCCTGGGTTGCAAAGGAGCACAGTGCTCATCCAGTTCCAACCCCTGCTGTGTGCAGGTCACCAACCAGCAGCCCAGGCTGCCCAGAGCCACATCCAGCCTGGCCTTGAATGCCTGCAGGGATGGGGCATCCACAGCCTCCTTGGGCAACCTGTTCCAGTGCCTCACCACCCTCTGGCTGAAAAACTTCCTCCTAATTTTTCTTCTGGAGCAGTAGCAATGTTTCAGCCTCCAAGCTGCACTGCTGCCTTCCCTTCTGTGCCCTTTGTCTGCTTGGCATCATCCCCAGCAACTTTGTGCACACGCAGACCAACAGGACAAAAACCAAATTAGCCGCCTGAGTACAGCAGGCCTTGGCTGCACGGAGTGCTTCAGTGGCAAAGCAATTTAGAGTGAGTAAGCGGGCAGTCGCTGCCATGAGAGTAAACACTGTGATATTTAAAAGTGTGAGTTCAGCACGAAGCCGGCTGCAGGAAGGGGTTCGGTTTGAGGAAGCTCCATCTCGAGGTGTTTGTGCACAGAAAGGCTTTCTCACACTGCAGGTTGTGCTGCTGGAGGAGCTGACTCAGCCCCAGCTTTGGCAGCACCGGCTCCAACTCAGTGATGTCGTGCAGTGATGTGGCTCAGGAGCAGCACAAGGTCGGGCCTTTGGTTTTTAAGAGTGGATGTGTGCAAGGCAGGGAGGGCGCACCTCCATCCCCTTCGCTCTCTGCTCCTTGGTGCTTCATTGAACTGCTTTTCAGCACGGGGTTGGCTCAGGTCTCCCAGCTGTTGTTGCACAGACCCACGTGTCGTTTTGGTGGCTGGTTTTGGTCCTTGGATGTGTGTGGACCTCCATGTTGTGCTGACCATCCTACATGCCCTGTACTCTACCAGCAATGTTGGCAAAGCACAGATAGGTTGATTTGGCAAGCTCCTGCCTGGAATGGAAACGAGTCCCTTGTTTTTAACAGAAATAACCTCAGTCTCAGCCCATGGTACGTTTAGGAGGATAAAGGCTGCTGAGGGAGCTGCCATGGTGCAGCGTGCTGCTCACACTGCTGGTTTGATGCTGAAAGCAGTCGGTGGGAGTGCAAATGTTCTTCCTGTTAAATTCATGAGAAGGGGAGTCAGGTTCTTACCACGAAGACATAACCACAAAGAAATAACAAACCACCTGGTTGGGCTGCGTGACATCAGTCTGTCAGATACCTTCAGCACAGCGTTGGATCCCGCGCTGGTAACGAGCAATAAAATGAAGTCATGCCCTGAAGATGGCGTGGACGGAAGTTTGCTGACCTGGAGGTGGAAGTCTTGTGGAGCCTGCCTGCTGCCAGCACTGCCTTCCCCTGCTTTCCTGATGCTGACAGCCTCAGCACTGCTGCAGGAGCTGCTCTGCAGGGAGGTGAGCAGGGCTGCAGTGGCACTGCTGGTGGGAACACCTTCAAGTCCAGGCTGGCGTTGGGCTCACTTCTTTTTGAGAGAACCATTTGCTAATTAATTGCTAATTAATTAGGTGATTTTTTATTTTTTTTAGGCAAGCACCCTCTGCTTGCCACCCACCATCCCTCTTCCCATCACTTTCACCTGGCCGATGCGTTGTGAGGGCTTAATTGTTGACAGCTCAGATTAATACTGGGGAAGTATTTCAAGTCCTCTTGTTTTCATTGAGTGATTTAATCTCAGATTGGTGTGCAGCAGAGCCCTGTTGGGAGTGAAGCTGCATATTGTGTCCTGCCCCTCATGTTGGCTTTGCCTTTGGTCCGGTCCTTGCTGTGATGGGTTAGAGTTTGTTTTGCAAACGTAGCTGTGAGTAAAGAAGGAGCTCTGGTGGAGTATTGAGCAATCTCCAGTAGACACTAAAAATAAAAAAAAGCCACAAAAAACAACGAGCTTTTCATGGCCTAGTTCGTAGTAATTGAAAAAGCTGGCACGAGGAGCACTTAGAAGCTCAAAATTAAACAGGTTTGTTTATAGTAGCCATGATTCAGTGCTGAGCTGCCAGGGTAAAAATAACCCCATGCATGGCCACCGTGTGGGGCAGGGTGCTGGCAGGGGCATTGCAGATGCCAAATATTGGTGTCTGTGAGTGCAAGCCAGGCTGGGAGCTGGGGGTGAGGGTAGGAGTGCTGAGCATCTCTGCTCCTTCTCTGCTCCACCTCTGTGATGGTGGTGGTGTTGTTGTGCACATGGGACTGTGCAAATGCAGTCTGCATGCCCAGTTTGTCACCTGCCCTTGGTCCTACAGCTGAGCACTGGAATTCCCTGTTCTCAGGTGTGTTTAAGTTGGATCCATACAAATGCTGTCAGCAAGAATTCCTTTGCTGTAGGCTCGCTTCCTATTGCATTTGGAAGGTATTTAGCAGAAATCTCAACATCTCCCTTACCTGTTTCTGCAGCGTTTTGATTTCTGGGGTTTCGAGGTGCAGCGTTGGATGCAGAGCTGCTGCAAAAGCATCTTACAAAAGCAGTTGCTTGGCTTCCTGTGCTGTGCAGCACTGGGGCCTCACTGCCTCCGTGCCCGGGATTTCCACGCTCTGAAGAGTGGATTTGATGCTTACAAACGTTACTGGCTGAAAAATATCTTCTGAAGGATTAATTTTTGTTTATTTTTCTTTCAGTGCCCTCGTAAGGAGCCTGGGAAACCCTTCAGTAGTGCTGTTAACACTGATGAGAGATCTTTTATGCCAAGGTATGAGTTCTTAATATTTAATTGGACAACTAGTGAAGTTAAAAGCTGCCTGAGCCTTGTTTCTGCAGTGGGGGAAAGCAGCTCTGAAGTTTTGTGCTCCTTCCTGATGTCATCTACCGTTGTACAAAGCATCAAACTATGGAGGCAGTCTGGTTTCTTTCTTCTGGTTGTGAAAGAGGCAGAACCGACCACGCAGCCCCAACGGTTCTCTTGCGATGGCATCACCTCACTGCAGCTCAAAGCATCCAACCAGCTGCAGATACATGGCACTCAAGAGCTGGTGAACAGCCCTTGTGTGATGTACAGACGGTTACATTTGCATGTGGGTAGCTGTTCTCGTGGTGAGGGTTGCTTGGGACAGGAAACTTTTACGCTTTGTACTGATCACAGTCTTCTCTTGTATCGAAAGAAGCACTGAACACCCATCATTTCATGCTGCTTTGCAATGCAGCTGTTGCTTCAGAGCACGTTCCTGCACTGCATGCTGCTCTGGGTGGCAGTGAATGCCTCGTGTCTCCTGTGTCGAGGTGGGCACATGCAGTTTGCCAAACAAAAAGTTGGTTGGGATGGAACGTGGTAATTTTTGGAGCCCTCCATCTGTGCTGTATGAGCAGGTAGCATTAACAAACTTGTGGAAGAGCTACAAGGTGATTAAGGCATGTGGGATCTACAGTAATAAGGCTTATGTGATTCAGGATCTTGGTTTCCTGTTGCACTTGAAAAAAAAAAAAATCAGCAAATACTGCAGAGAAGAAATGAGAAGTCAGTCTTGTACTACTGCTGGCTGGAACTTTCCCACAAGTATTTTTACTATAAATAAGAAGTGAAAGAGTTCACAGCTATATTTAACCCGTAGCGTGATTTACTTTCAGGGCTTTCTTGGGTGGAGCATCCCGTGGAGGCTTGAAAGATGCACAGATCAATGGGTTGCATTGATGGGTTATTATAAAGCAGTCACCCCCTTGGAATTTCTAAGGATTATCGAGAGGAAAAGTGTTGCTGATTGGAATTCCCCTCTCCTTCCTAACAAAACCCACAGTTTTAGAAATAAAAGGAAGTGAACGTTACTTCTCTGGGAAGTTTTCAGCAGAAGAGCTTAGAGCTGCCAGGATCTAATCCAAAAATGTTATCAGTGTACTCAGTGCGCAGACGTTTCTTGCACTGTTTTGAGATATATGAAGCTACCATTCTGGAAAACCCCTTTCAGTTTGACTCCGTTTCACAATTTTTATGCAATTAAGCAATAACAGTTTCAGGAGGTGAAGAAAAATAGCCCTGAGGTTAACTTCAAGATCTGGGTGCTGCTGCTGGCTTCAGCTCAGCTCTCTGTGTAAGGCTGGGGGCAGCTGGAGGGGTGAGAGGCTCGGTGTGGATGGGATGCAGTGTCTGCTCTGCTGCAGCTCGGGCTCATGTCAGCCTGGCTTCAGGTCTCCCTCGGCTGCAGGGAGACAGCAGCAAGGCTGAAGCCACAATCCTGATTCTTTGCAGGAAGCTGTTGGTGGTAGTGGACAAGGTGATGTGTGTTGTAGTGGACGGGGTGATGCACTTCTGCATCAAACTCCAAGGAACACCTTTTCATTTGTAGCCAGTCTGGTGCAGCCATAAATCCCATGGCAACGTTGGTTTGCAGTGCCTTTGAGAAATGAAACTTCCCTGGGCTCATAACATTCGTGTTTCTGGACCCTTACTTGGGAAGGAGGAGAGGATAACTGGCAGCTGAGGTCATTGTTTGCCCAACGCCCCGACCGGGACAGCCCAGCCTGGCTCAAAATGTAAACAGAGCGTAAAATGTTTATGGCCAGCTTTGTCACTTGCCTTATTTGTCAGGGAATCTCGAGGAGAATGAGAGGTTTTCTCGTGCAGCACAGCGAGCTTGGGGAGCTGGAAGATTTCCTTAAAAAGGCACAGCCCTGGCTGGGTGAGCAGCGAGCGCTTGGCAGCTGTGGGGTCGGGCTGACCTTCCTGGGGAGAAGAACTGCTGTCCTGCATCCTTCCCTGCAGGCTGAGCCCCTCCTCACCACTCACCAGCCTTGTTATCTCGTCCTCATGGCTGTAAAACATTGAGGAGACAGAGGGAAGGTGGTGCAGTGGGGGGGGACTTGTGACTGCATACAAAGTGTTTCCCAACAGCAGAAAGCCAGCAGGTCCAGCCTGGGCATCCCAAACCCAGGAGGCAGTGAGTTCAGGGCAAAGCTTACCGTAATTAAAATACTCTGTGACAAAGTGAAAGGAAGCACTGAGTTGTCAGGTTTGCTATGGGAGTGTGGGATTGTGTGTGGTTGGTGCACATGAACACTGGAACTGGTGTTGGAGGGTGGATCTGTGCTTTGGTGGTTATTGCTCTGCGTGGCACAAGCCAGAGCTGTCATCAGCAGCCATCTAAACTTGAGCATCCAGGTGGGCGAGGAAAATCTTCACTGTTCCTGCAGAGATTCCTCTTCTCAGCACATCAGCAGAGCAGCAGTGCATTGCTGCTTTGAGAAGATGGTGTCCTGAAGGTGTACATGCAATGCTATGGTAACGTTGCTCTCCTCTTGCCTTGCAGGTTGCTGGTACCTGAGCAGCCCGCGCCATGCGTGAGTACAAGCTAGTGGTCCTTGGCTCAGGAGGTGTGGGCAAGTCTGCCTTGGTGAGTGGCTGGGGATGGTTCTGGCACTGCTCGTGGGCACTGCTCACTATTTGTGCTGGGATGTTTGTGCTGCTGCTCACCTGCACTTAGTGACACTCAGGTTGCCTTTGTTACGCTGCTGGAGGATCTGTGAATTTGTCCATATATATATATAAATATATATATATTTTTTTTTCTGAGAAGAAAGAAGTAATGAATCACTGCTGGAACAGTCAGCATTTGGTGCTCGCTTCCTGCAGATGTGTAATGCTGTGAATACGCTGCACCCAGCCCATGCTGCACTGATGGCACTTTGCACTCCTTAAGTGCTGGTGTTGTTCCTCCTAAGAGGTTTACATAGAAGAGTTGATAGTGAAGCTTTGTAAGACAGATTTCTGTCACCTGTTTATCAAAGATCAGCCAAGCAGTTCACCCCAGCCAGGATGGTGAAGAAGTGGTCAAGTGTGAGGTTATCTGGAAGGGAAACACACCCTGCTCCTTGTCACAGAGGGTGACAGCAGCTGACTCACAGCAGAGAGCCCTGCTCCTTTCCAGACTGCTGCTGGAATGGGCTGCTGTGGGCTGTCAGATCACCTGCAGGATCCAGAAGGATAGAGGGGAAGGTTATTCAATTATGACTCAAATTTGATGTGCTCTTTCGGAGATCCCATCTTAATCCTTGCAAGACAGAGGAGTAAAAGCTTTTGATACACTCTGTTCTTCCACAGCACCTTAAGCAAACTGAAATGACTACAGAAACTCCAGTGCCTTCCAGGGGACCAGGAAAGCTGGGGAGCAATGGGAGTCAGAGTGCAGCACATACAGAGCCTGAGTGTCCAGGGATGGGTCACATCCAAGTGGCAGCATGAGGGGAAATGTTTAGGGCAGATTTGCTCTGAATAATCACATAGAGAAGAAATATTTCCCTTTCTACATCAATGATGTCTTCTTTTGTTGTGATTTAATACAAATTGAGTGTCTGGAGAGTCACTGGATTGAATTGTGTGTAATCCTGAGTACTTTCAGTGTGACTCTGACTTAAATGAGATCTAGGATTTCCAAATGCATTGCCAGTTCCTCTGATCAGATTTCACGTTTCCCATATTTGGTGCTTTTTACTCTTCTGAAGTCACAGGCACTAAAATGAAGGCATTTGGGGGATCTCATCTTTTATAAAAAATGAGCCAGCAGTCCAAAGTGGCTCAAGAAATGACAGATTGCACAGATTTTACTTAAGTTTGTTGATAATTTATGTCTTTTCTCCACACCTGCATTTTCTCAGCAGCATGGAGCAGTTTGGTGCTGCTCCTTCTTGAAGTGTTTTTTGGTAACACATCACAGTCTGTTTGCTCACCTGATTTATTTCCCTTCTCCTTTCTCCCCAGACTGTACAGTTTGTTCAGGGAATTTTTGTTGAAAAATATGACCCAACAATAGAAGACTCATACAGAAAGGTAAAGTAGTGACGTTTTCCTTTCACATCTCACAGTGCCTGCTGCTTTTTAATAATGCTACGAAAGCCTATCAGACCGAGCCAGTTGTGTATCTGAGAGCATCACAGATCCATAAAACTACACATGGTTTCCTTTGGCTTTGCAGAGCACTTCACAAACTTGAGGCTTCTGGTCAACCCAATGGCGTGTGCCACTGTAAAGCTGAATAATAAGGGAAGGGCCAATGGTGCTGTTAATTTGGCTGTTCTTACTTCTGTTTAATGGGAGAACTTATCCTCTGTTGCTCACACAACTTGCAGCTTTCGCTTTAGATCTCTGATCTCTGATGGCTTTGTTGCTTTCTCTTAGAAATGGTGTTATTCTGTTTAGTTTGAAGGCACATACAAAGTCTCTGCAGCTGCTTTGCACGCAGGGCTGAGCAGAAGTCCTTGTCAGGATCCCTGACCCTGGTGTTATGCAGCTCTATCAACAGTGCTGCTTTCTTCTCTGGGATTGATGTCAAGGAACCCATTGTTTTGCAGATTAGCATAATTGTTGCCATAATTAAAGACACCGAAACAGAAAACAAAAACTTGCAGCCTTTGTGCCTGTGATAATGAAGCATAAATTCTGAGTTCTGCTGGTAGATTTATTCTGCTTTCATAGAATTACCCATGGGGAATCGGAGACGTTTCTTAGGTGGTGAAGGGTTTTTATGCCTGAGTGTGAGCAGAGCCTGTGGCACAAGGGAGCTGCCCCATGTGCCAGCTGGGGGTGTCACTGAGCTCTGACAGCAGAGCCTCTCGTGGTGCTGGGAAGGTGCTCTCTTGCAGAGCTCTTTGCTGCAGAAGTAAAAAATGAAGCTGAGATTCCTCTCCCCTGCTTCATTTCAGAGTCTTTAGTTTTAACTGTTTCTGTCTCTTCCCTTTTTCCCCAGCAAGTGGAAGTAGACTGTCAACAGTGTATGCTTGAAATCCTGGATACAGCAGGGACAGTAAGTATAACCCCTCTTTCTAAATGGCACTGAGTTGCTTTCTTGAGAGCGGAGTGAGGTATGGAACTTAATAATCCCATCAAAGCAATAGGGCAAGTACAGCAGGAAAAGTCAAACAGTTCTGTTAAACAACCCAGCAGTGGGTCACTGTATCGACATACTGATGTGTGATGGTTCTGTTTGTTAACTTTGCAAGTGGAGACAAAAGGATGAGGTCTTTGGGAGCGGGCTCTGGGGGTGAATCATAGAATCACAGAATGGCCTGGGTTGCAAAGGAGCACAATGCTCATCCAGTTCCAACTCCTGCTATGTGCAGGTCACCAACCAGCAGCCCAGGCTGCCCAGAGCCACATCCAGCCTGGCCTTGAATGCCTGCAGGGATGGGGCATCCACAGCCTCCTTGGGCAACCTGTTCCAGTGCCTCACCACCCTCTGGCTGAAAAACTTCCTCCTCATATCCAACCTAAACCTCCCCTGTCTCACTTTAAAACCGTTCTCCATCATAAGCATCCATCAGCTGCATGAATGGCATTCCTCTTTCCTTGATTACAGGAGCAATTCACAGCAATGAGGGATCTCTATATGAAGAATGGCCAGGGGTTTGCACTAGTATATTCAATAACAGCACAGTCCACGTTTAACGACCTGCAGGACCTGCGGGAACAGATCTTACGGGTGAAGGACACTGAAGATGTAAGTAAAACGTTGTCTCGTTTTGCAGATTAATAGAATATCTTCCAAATGAGGCACGTGGAAATTTGTACGTGAGTAAAATGTCTTTCTAGGAATACTCACTGCTGCACAGCCAAGTTTTGTGTTGGAGTTCTCTCTGCACTATTTGTTGTTTTTAGTGTTACAGCTTGGGTTTGCTGGACAGCTGGCAGTCTGGATGGGAAGTGACAGCAAAATGGTGGGAGTCAATTGGAGAAACAACTTTTTTTCTTTCATTTTAGCTCTGTTAAATTTGCCAGTAATGATTGAATGGTTAAAATGCATTTCTGGTGTTGTGCCAGGGGGTGGTACTTAGAATCATAGAATGGCCTGGCTTGAAAAGGGCCACAGTGATCATCTCATTTCAGCCCCTCTGCTGTGTGCAGGGTTGCCAGCCACCAGACCAGGCTGCCCAGAGCCACATCCAGCCTATTTGTTGAACCCAAGGCTCAGGACCTCTTCATCTTCCATGCAACCTTCTGCTTAGTTTTGAGCTTCCTGTTTTAAGTTTCAGAACACATCTTTTAACATCCCAGCACTCAGACCATTAACTTAAGTCTCAGTTTAAAATCCAGTCTTTACATGACATAGGAAATGATAGAGCAAGTTGTTGTACTTCCGTTTTCTGCTCCATGATGATTACTGCTGCTTGAAATAACCTTATAAAAAGTTTCATGTCTTTCAAATCTGTTCCATTAAGTAGCACTTTTTTTCCTATTGTTTCTCATTTTCATTTCCTTATTCTGTTTGCTGGGTGTGATCAGAACACATCTTAAAGTTTTGGAGATCTCTGAAGTGTTTGGAAGGCTGTAAGGGAGGGAATTGGGCTGATAAGGTTGTAAATCACAGCATCACGGAGTGGTTTGGGTTGGAAGGGACCTGTAAGATCATCTATTTCCAACCTCCTGCTACAGGCAGGGACACTTCCACTAGCCCAGGTTGCTCACAGCCCCTTCCAGCTTGGCCTTAATGTGAAATGAGCTTTTGAGGGGGTTTTGTGCCTTCAGTTTTGTGATGTAAGAAGTAAAATTTACTTCTTGAAAATAAAACTGCCATCATTTTCTGATCAGTACGGCTGTCTTAAGTACAAAAATTAATCTTGAGTGCAGCTGAATGAGAGGGAGAATACAAATACTGACTTTCAAGTGGATTAGAAAACGTACAGCGCGTTGGAAATTATCAAAGGAAATGGATGGTGATTTATTTCCCAGCTGGAGAGTACTCATTTTCTGCTTAGAGAATGAAATGCTGCAGGAAATGGAATGAGGCACACCCACCAGCAGCAGTTCTTTGGGGTTTTTTTGTTTTTTTTTTTCTACATGTGCATAGCAAAGGGAAACAGGATGCAGAGGTGCTGAAGGAGAGGGGCTGATGGCCATCACTGTGCTGTGGAGCAAATGACTTCTTGTGTCTGTGGTCGTGGATGTAGGCTGGATGTGTTGAAAATGCACCAGATGTTTATTCTAACATGGCATGAGATTATTTATTGGAAGAGAAATCCTTTTGGAAGCTGAGCTGCAGGGGCTCATTAGTTGGAAACTTCAGTTACTATCAGCGAGTCAATATTAATGATGGTTTCAGTGCTGTTTGTAGTGAATGTCCTTTTATCTGTGTATAAAATGCAGCAGTGATGCAATGTGTGTTGTGATGTGATGGGCAGATGGCATCGTGTGTGCTGGGGCTGTGGGAACACATAGCTGCATTTCAGTGACAGCATTGCTTGGGCAGCCCATGTGGTGTGTTATGTTGCTGACACATCTCGTCCTCTTGCTTCTCTCTTCTCCAGGTTCCAATGATTCTGGTTGGCAATAAATGTGATCTGGAGGAAGAACGCGTAGTTGGCAAAGAACAGGGTCAAAACTTAGCAAGACAGTGGTGTAACTGTGCCTTTCTAGAATCGTCTGCAAAGTCTAAAATCAATGTTAATGAGGTAAGTATGAGCTGCTCTTTGTTACTTCTACATGAATGCCATGTGGAGTTGAATCACTGAATCGTAGAATTGCTCAGGTTGGGAAAGACCTTAAAGATCATCGAGTTCAACCACAACCTGACCATCCTACCCCAACTCTAACAACAGCTAAAACACATCCCTGAGCACCACGTCCAGATGGATTTTAAACACAGAGATGGTGACTCAACCACCTCCCTGTGCAGCCCATTCCTGTGCTTAACAACCCTTCTGTAAAGAAGTTTTTCCTGATATCCAACCTAAACCCTGGTGCAACTTGAGGCCTTTTCCCCTTGTCCTGTCAAGCAGTGAGAAGAGACCAGCTCTGCTCTGCTTCAATCAGCTGTCAGGTATTTGAAGAGAGCAGCAATGTCTCCCCTCAGCCTCCTCTTCCCCAGACCAAACAGCCCCATTTCCTTCAGTCTCTCCTCATAGGCCATATTCTCCAAGTCCTTCCCCTTGTTGCCCTTCTCTGGACCTGCTCCAGCACCTCCATGTCTTTTCTGTACTGAGATGCCCAAAACTGAACACAGAAGCATGCAGTGCTACTTATATTTCCCTATCAGAAAGAGAAGGTGCTTCTGAAATCTCAGCCTGGGAAGAACTTGGACAAGTCTGCAACAGGAGATGCAGTCTCTTCAGCTGCATCTGTTTTAAAGAAATTTGCTCCTTTCTGTCTGTAAAGAGTGGGTGGCACCTCCATATAAATGCTCTCTGTAGCCTGTGTCAGAGGGCATGGATAGCAGAGGGTCCTGAGTGAGTGGATGACTCTTAGATAAACTTTTATACATTTTTAAGATAACTGCTGCTATTCTGAATGTGGACATGCCCCATTGTATCACTTGTTGCGTTGCGTAGTGTTGGCTGTTGGTTTTGAAAGTATTTGCTTTTCACATTCCTGCTACATCTGGCTGCTCAAGCAGACATCCCATCACAGTCCTCCTCTGGTAAGCCACTAATTTACTGAGACCATTTCCAAACATAAATCTGTCTGCACAATTTTCCACGTTTAAATGAGAAACACCTCTGCACGTTGGTGTCGCGTGGCTCTTGCCATCCAGCACTGAGGTTTTATTCTCTCCTGTGAGCTATCTGACAGGGCCAAGGGCCAGCTTTCCACTCACAAATGCTAAGGTGACCCCATTGAGCAGAGCAGCTTTGGTGCCAGGAGATAACTGGGACCGTTTAGGAGCCTAAGATAAGGAGAAGCAGTGGGATTTGGCCCAAACCCAGCATCCTCCTGGCAGCCAGTTTGCCATGCCCAGTACTCAGGGAGGGCCAGGAGCTCCTGCTGTTGGGATGGGGCTGCAGGAACCTCATCTGCCAGCAAAGAGATGTTGGGTGCTTTGCCATGTGTTGCTCCAGCACATGGCAGTTCCCTTTGTACAGCCTTAGCTCTTGTTTGTAAAGGCTTAAAGATGGAAAGCTGTTCTGCATCACAATAGAAAATGCCTCTTATTGATTGGTTTCTCCTACAGAAACCTTTCCTTTGTATGTCATCTGTACACTTCTTAGCATCTGGGTGTGAGCTGCTCCTGTTACCCAGATCTGGCAGTGGGAAGCTTAGCAAAGGAGGTGTGGGAGCAGCTCAGGTGCTCTTCAAATATTTTATACCAGAGCCCAATGAAGGCAGCATGGTTTCATTTTGTTTGGGGCTATCAAACTGGGCACTTGTGCTTTCGTGCACATACAAGGCAGAAAATCTGAAATATCCAGGCATTGAAATTTGTTACAACCTGTTTGTCTTTTGGATTTCCTTGGAATCAACCAGAATTTGTGAGCAATCAGCAGCTCCAGGAAAGAAGAAAGTGAATGAGGAGAAGCGTGGGGTTTTCTGGAGGTCGAAGTAGTTCTGCTCAGTCCCATGACCCAACTCCAAGCAAGTTTGCAAAGCTCATTTTGCAAGGAGTGGGTTATTACTGAGAAAACGAATGACAGCAAAAAGTGTTCACAAGAAATTTGTTGCTGAAGCAAAAAGAGATCTCTGTGATCATCCCCTTCTAGAAGAGTCTCCTTCAGAGCTGATGATCAGTTTTTCCTTGCTGTGTTATTAATAAATTCAGATAGATCAGCACCAAAGGCACATGAGATCAGCAGTAAGTGAATGACAGCTCCAGTCTGAATGGCTGTGATGGAAACCAAGAACTCATCCTACACAGTAGGGAGTGAAGCCAGGTCCCAGAAGATGCTCCCTTATTTTCTGCACATGGATGGGAGCTCTGTGCACCCTTGTTTAATAAGCAGTTGCTTGAGGAGTATGTGCAGCTAAATGGAAGCAGACTGATTCAATTTCTAAGACTGCAGACACCAGGAAGGAGCATCAACCTGCCATCCTGCCTGACTTTTTGACACTTGAGTAGCGTTTGTTATTTTGTTACTCAGTTTGTGGTTTTCCTTTTCAGATCTTTTATGACCTGGTCAGACAGATAAATAGAAAAACACCAGTGGAAAAGAAGAAGCCTAAAAAGAAATCATGCCTGCTGCTTTAGACTCCCATGGCGCAGCAGCTCTGAGCCAGGTAAGCCACGTCTCCCATGCAGGCTGGGTGTGATGCACACCTGAGCTGCTCCTGACAAGGCTCATTCCCCCTCCCTCTGCTCCTCTGCCTCCTGTCTGCTCCAAAATACACAGTTCTTGCTGCTCTGCTGCCCGTGTTGGCCTTTTCTGACTGAAAGCTAGTTCTACTGCTGGACCTGGCAGAGAAATATCCTTCCTCCTTTTGCTTGGGCTGTGGTTTGTGACGCAGCAGGAACTGGTGGGGATGGGTGCAGTGTTCCTCCTTGCTCTCTTAGTGCTCAGAGCCATCCTGGGTCAGCTGTGCTTCCTCCTGAAGCAGCACTTGGGTGACTCGCCGTGCTGTCACAGCCCTGGCTGATAAGAGGACAATTGCAAATGGATTTGGGTGGGACGTGGATTTCAATGGCTGCCCACCAGGAACACAACCCAAAACAAAACACCACCAAAGGTTGGACGTAGGCTATAAATAATCTTCCTGTGTATCTTGGCAGGGTGCTCAGTGTGCTGACAGCTGCTCTGTCGCACTGCTGGAAGAAAGCAGCCTCTCTGCAGCTGCAGCTTCTGGCCGTGAGCAGCACGATGCCCTACAACATCAGCAACCCGTTGTTTTTCTCTTCCTAGATTGCAGGAATGAAGAACTGTTGCCTAAATGGAAAGTGCCAGCGTTCCCAACGTCACCACCTTACAGAAATTAGTGACATATCTGAAGGAGCTTCTCCTGTTTTTGTATACGACGAGAAGAATTTAGATCTTAAAATGGTTTGCACACAGTCCCTGGAAAAAGAAATTGCTCTCTGTATATCTCTTGGAAATTGAAGACAGTAGCATTTCTCCTTTGCAATAGCAGTTAACAGATGTGAAAAATAAATATAATTGACTCTAGTGTATGATTATACAAAGGAGCATGGATGCATTTCAAATGTTAGACATTGCTACTATAATTAAAACTTCATATTGACCCTTATATCATAATTTCTCCCCGTCGAGCACTAAAAATGTTCCACCATTATATTTTATATCTGTAACTATAGATATATATTATCTGAGATTTCCCTTTGAACTCACTGCAGCAAATAACTTTTTGAGTCGTTGACTTCATTTTATATTTAAAAGTTACAGAATATCATTATTTTCATTCTGCCATTATATTCTAATTAAAAATGTTTGTGCATAATGCTTTGGAAAAATGGGTCTTTTATAGGAAAAAAACAAAAAAACTGGGATAACTGATTTCTATGGCTTTAAAAGCAAATATATATAATATACTAAACCAACTCTAATATTGCTTCTTGTGTTTTACTGTCACAGATTAAATTACAGCTTTTATGAATGATTAAATTTTAGTACATTTTCATTTTGTTTCTGTGCTTTTGTTACGGTTTCCCGGGTTTGTGGGGTGCTTTTATTGGCAACCAATGCTGAGAAATCCCCGTAAATGAGTTGTTTTTCTCCATCTGACCCTGATGCAGCTGCGGAGCTGAGCAGAGATCCCACTTCCTCCATGCAGCCCAAGCAGACTGAATGGAGACGCAGGGTGACGATGTCAGTCCGTCTGCCTGCATTACAGCTGCTGGGGCAAATTGGGCACCAAGCTCCAGCTCCCCGCGCTTCCTTTTTCAGGAGGAGCCGAGGCGTGGTGTTTGCATGTCGGTTATCTTTACTAAAAGCACAATTATTATAGTAATAAAGTGATTTTAACGTTGCTCGGCGCGGCTGCGGAATGGACGCCCGCCCTCCGCCCGCCGGTACCGCGCACGGCCGCCAGGGGGCGCTGTCCGCCCGCAGCCGCCGCTTCCTTTGGGGTCTCCCCGCTCCTTTGGGATCCCCCTCCGCGTTCCCTTGGGGTCCCTGAATCGTGGTGATCCTCCCCCGGTTCCTTTGGGGTCTCCTGGTTCCTGCTGTTCCCCCCGGGTTCCTCTGGGGGTCCCTGAATTGTGGTGGTTTCCCCAGTTTCTTTGGCATCCCTGGTTCCTTTTTGCTCCCCCCCCAGTTCCTTTGGGATCTCCCAGTTCCTTTGAGGTTTCTGGTGCTCGCCCAGTTCCTTTGGGGGCTCTGAATTGGGATGGGGTCCCCTGGTTCCCAGTGGATCCCCCCGGTTCCTTTTGGGTCCCCATGATTCCTTTGGGATCTCCCAGTTCCTTTGAGGTTCCCGGTGCTCCCCCACTTCCTTTGGGTATCTCTGAATTGTGAGGGGGTCCCCTGGTTCCCAGTGGATCCCCCGGTTCCTTTGTGATCTTAGATTCCTTGGGGGTCCCTGAATTGTGGTGATCCGCCCGCTTCTTTTTGAGTCCCCACTGTTCCTTTGGGATCTCCCAGTTCCTTTGAGGGCTCTGAATTGGGATGGGGTCCCCTGGTTCCTTTGGGATCTTACTTAGATTTCTTTGGAGTCACCCGGGTTCATTTGGGGACCCTGAATTGTGGTGGATTCCCTGTTTTTTTGGGGGTATTTCCTGGTTCCTTAGGGGTCTGTGGCTCTCTGTGGGTCCCTGGTTCCTTTTGGGGTCCCAGATTCCTTTGGGGTCCCCCTGGTTCCTTTAGAGTCCCCATTTCCTGGTGGGTCCCTACAATTCCTTTGGGGTTCCCTGATCAGCTCCTGCTTGCAGACCCCACACCCGGAGCTGTTGGTGCAGGTGTTGGCTCTCCTGTGTGCAGCACAGCAGCCCCATTTCTGCTCTCTGGTGAACGCCGCGTCGTTTCCATTTACAAATAGGATGCGCCCCAAAGCATTCGGTGTTTAACGCTTCCTGGGTTTAAAGATGTGCTTACTGAAGAGTGTCCTAAAGAGAAGTAGAAAAGAAAATCTTCCCGGGGTGCCCTCATGTGCTTCTGCTTCACCCAACAAAGCAAAGCAACTCAAAGCTCTGCTCCAAGGAGAACGTTTACAATTGCAGTTGAGCCACGCAGCCCCGAAGTCATTGCGCCTGTGCTGCTGCTTTGCACCGAGATTCAGCCAAAGTGAATCACTGCTGTCTGTACCAATTCACTGCTGCTCAAACTCCCATCCACGCGTATTTATCTCATTCTCTGTTCTCTAAAGGTCCTTTTGGATGGCGTTTCCCACTGTGGGTTGGTCAGAGTGGCTGCAGGGGCAGCACACGGATGCACACAAGCTCCCATAGCCAGCAGCAGGATGAGAAACTTAATTAATGTGAAGTTCGGAGCTGACCTTTGCAAAAATCATTAAAACTAATGAGTGTTTTTATCTGTTTTGCCAGGACTTGACTCCGAGGAAATGGAATTAATTCCTATTGTGGAACATTCGGTGAAGAGCCGGGCTTTCATTTTTTATTTGGTGTGTGAGTACAGGCTGTTCTGTGCAGATCAGAGCCCCGCATTGCTGCGCCTCATTGCAGTGACTTCAGCCCCATCCATCCAATCCCAATGCCACCCCCTTGGCCCCCTCTGCACCCCCAGCCCCTGTGCATGGGGCAGGACCCCCACACAGCTGTGGAAGCAGCTGTGCCATCTCACGGGGCTTTGTGCACGACTCGTGGGAACGTGTGCTCCAGGCAAGGGCTGTGAGCAGAGCTTGGGGGGGGGCTGCGTGGGGTCCCTGGGGCACAAACTGCCCATTCCCAGTGCTTTTCCCACGCTGCTCCCCCCGCAATGAGGCAGCTGTGTGCGGGAGGATGAGGCTGTGCCTGGCCCTGTCCCAGCAGCTGGGATGCAGGGATGAGAGAGCTCCACGTCCTTCAGTGGCTCTGCGCAGGGCTGTGCTCAGCAGAGCATCCCCTGAATTCAGCCCCAGGGCCGATGGAGCTGATGGCTGCCCCCTCCCCGAGCTCACGTGGAGCAGCTCTGCTTCTTCCCATGTTCTCCAGAAGAGCCCGAGACCGCTCGCAGTGACCCCATGGGTGTGATGGATGCTGAAACACACTGAGGATGAGTGCTGGGACCTGAAAATGCCCAGCAGTAAAAGCAGCATCATCTGAGCTCAGTGCCTCTGGGCTTACTGGGAATTGGGTTTGAGTCAGTTCCCAGTGCAGGCCGCCAGCAGAGTTTTATGGTAGCTCAGCAGTGATCACCTGCAAACCCATCTCCCTGCCAGTGCACGGGGCAGCACCAGGAACAGCATAATTAGCATCCAGGCCGGGGCTAATGAGCCATGCTGAGAGCTGTGCTGCTGTGGCTGCTCCTGGCTGGGCTCCTGCCTTCAGCTCAGCTCAGTGCTGCACAGGGAGCAGCATTTGTGCATCAGGAGGCACAGAGCATGGAATGATGCCCCTGTGTCTGCAGGGTCCCGCAGGATCCCTGACACAAAGGGCTGTGCTCCAGGAGAGCAGCAGCCAAGGAAGAGGCAATGATTTGTCAGAGGTTTGAAGTTGCAATTACAGCCCAGTGCCCCGAGCGCTGCTGCCTCAACCACAGCAGCTCCCAGCACAGTGCTGTGTTTGCACACCGATGACATTTTCTTTGGGTGGTGCCAGCATTCAAGGCCAAAAGCCGCTCCTTTAATCATGGGGTGAACAAGGAGCCCGTTGTGCTGGGGGTGCTCTGGCCCCATGCAGTGGGGCAGCAGCAGCTGTGGGCTGTAGATGGAGGCACAAAGGAGAAATTTACGGAGCCAAGCACACTGCACGCGTTATGGAGCAGCTCTGGGTTGCTCCCCAACAAAGCACTGCCTTCAGCTCCTTCAAGAGGGGAGGAGGACACACAGGGGAGCATTCCTGGATCTCCTGGCAGGAGGAACAGCTGGGAGAGCTGTGCAGCACAGGGCTGAGCTCAGCTCTTCCCAAGGAGCATCCTGTGCTGCAAGAACTGGCGCTGCTTTGCAGCCAGAAGGATGTGAGCTCAGGATCAGGATGGCCACATGAAGCACTGGGAGCCTCAGCCATGCTCCTCTCAGCAGTACGGAAGTCAGCAATCAGTTTGCTTTTTGCTCTGAGTGCCTTCCAGAGAAATCAGGTTCCCTGTAACCTGCTTGGAGTGACGATGGCACAGCTGAGTGACAGCAGCCCTGCTGCCCTTCCTGCCCAGGTGGGCACAAATCGTCACACAAATCAGCTCCAGCTGTGCACCTTTATGCAGCCTTTCCTATGCCCAATGTGTTTGAATGTAATATTTGGAGAGCAGAGGGCAGAGATGGGGCAGAGCTGCTGCACTGCACTGCACTGTAGGGTCTTCTGCCCTCTGCTGAAACAGTCACATGTGGGGCCAAGAAAACACCCTGTTCACCCCCCATATCCCCACACTGCTGGCAACAGCCCTGCAGCTCCCAGCCCCACTCAGTGCCATACAGGGGGATGCAGCTGAGCATCACTCCTGCATCACTGCATCACTCCCTGATGGGATGCAGGGCTGCTGCTTCCTCACCTCCCTGCTGCTCCACTTCCTCTCCCTTCACGTCCCTCCCAGTGTTTACTCACTGCTCTCAGATGCTCTGTGAAAAGCAGAAGAAATGGGGGGTGGGGGTTATTTTTAGAAGCTGCAAAAGGAATTCAACCCGAGGCAAATGCAATTACTTCAGGTTGCAAGCAGGCTTCAGAGCAGCGAGAATTATCTTTTAAATAGCAACTGGCCTAAAATCAATGCCACGAAGCCATCGTGCAATGAGAGCATCATTTAACCATTCGAGAACGTTTACAGGAGCCAAATGGGGTGGGAGAGGATGGACAGTGCTGGCTGCTGCAGACACCCTGATGGCAGCCCATGGTGTGCTGTGTCCCACCCCAGGAGCTGTGCATCCACTGCTGCTCTGGGCAGAGCCCCATGCTGCTCTCAGCCTGCATGCTGTGCTGCCTCCAGAGCACATTTCTGCTGCAGGGCTCTCCTTGATGCTATTCCTGGACCACTTTTAGGGCCCTCGTGGCCCAGAGCTGCTGCTGTGGGGATGGAGGAGGGGTGGGAGGGCTCCTTGTTCAGAGCTTTCACTCTGCAGTTGCAGACTGAGCTCCATCTCTGCTCCTCTTCTCTGCCCCGCTGAGCACAAAGAGGAGAGAAGGACTGGAGCAGATGATTAAAACAATGAATAAAATGGCACAGAGGTCCGTAGGATGATGTTCCCCAGCACATTCACCCCCAACAAGTGCCACGCGCCCCACGCATGGCAGCTGCCCAGACTTGCTTAATCATCCCATTGTTTCTTTATAACATTAATTAAACATTCCTCTGGGATTGTTGGAACCTAATTAAATCTGGATCTTACAAAAGCGGGTGAAGAATCCAAACAAGTGTGGGCTGGGGATGCACGGCCTGATTTTAATTCAACTGTTGTGCAGTCATCATCAAGCAAAGCACACATGGGTGGAGGAGTGGGGTGGCCTGAAGTTATTTCCATGGCACAGAGCTGGGGACTCTGATGAATGGTGTCCTGGGCTTGGGGCTGCTGTGTGCCATGGAGCCCTGGGCTGAGGG